GGCTCACTCGAGAGGCAGTTTCATGGGCCCAAAAGGGATGGTGGGTTTGGCCAAGGGAGTTGGGGTAAGTGTAGAGCAACTGCTCCAAGCTGGGCATGGAGGGGAGACGTGCAACTCAGCTGGGCCCTGCCCCCCGGAGCGCCCCTCCTGGGGGGAAGCAGACAACAGCCAACAGCCCATCCAGCCAGACTGGGGCCGCAGAGGCTGACCTGCCAGGGCCCTGGCTGGCTGGCTGGTATTACGTGTGTGTGCGTGTGTGTGTGTGTGTGTGTGTGAATTCCTGAATCCCACCTTCTGAGCCTCTAAGATTATGATTCTCACAGGCAGCTGGCAACCCCTGGGTCTGGATCCCAGCTCCACCCACTGCTGGGACTTAACTCGCTGTGACTCAGTTTCCTGGTTTGAAATGGGGATGGAGATACCTACTTCCCCTGGATCAAGAACTGATTAAATGAGACCAGTGTGTCAGGCATGACCCCAGGGTGTGGACCCACAAAAACCTTTGTCCAAACAAGGCCGGCGTGAAGAGCTGCCCGAGCCCAGCTTCTAAAAGGGAGCCAGAAGTTTCCAACTCCCAGGTGGGGAGCCAGGAGTCCTGGGAAGCCCTGGTGAGGCGCTGTGCAAGCCAGAGAGGGCTCCCCCTGCAGAGCAGGAAGTGCTGCCTGGTGACTGGTGCTCTGGAGCCCTCTCGTGGAAGGAGGAAGACTAGGCGCAGGTATGAGGCCTCACTGAGGCCCCCAGCGCAGTATACAGCAGGACCTGTTGGCGACCAGGGCTCTGGGAGTAGGAGCCTGGCTGTGAGCACCTCCTCTCCTCCCAGCAATGAAGCCCAAGCTCCAGCCCACTCCCCAGGAACTGACCCACTGACCAGGAACTTCCATCCAGAGCAAGCCCAGTGGTCAGGCTGTCTGACCAGCAGCTTCTGGGGCCCCTCCTGGGGATATAGGCCCCCAACAATCCACGTCCCAGGGCAAGAATGCACCCCAGGCCCTGTGTCTGCCAATTCCTCCCTAGGAACTACAGAGGCTTGAGAAGAAACCCTGACAAAGGTGGCAGGGGTCTTTGGGCCCCAGTATGACATCACAGACTGGAAAACAGACTCTTGACCTGCAGTCTGTTCTCTGCTCAGATACATCTGTGTCTGTCCAAGATGAAAAGGCCAGAGTCCTCATGAGATCCCATGGCTACCACTCAACAGCTGTGTGACTCTGGGGGAGTTACCTAACCCCTCTGGGCTGTTCCTTACCTCTAATGGGAATAAACCCACTAACTCACAGGGCTGTGGGAGGCTGAGATCAGGATGTGCATCCAGTGCTTCTGCAGTGCCTGGCCCATTGAGCAGCGGGTGTGATCTGGTTACCACTCAAGCACTGGGGAACCCCAGGACCTGCACATCCTGCCTCGCTGGACCTGTTCCAGCACCCCTCCAGCCTCATCCCCAATCCTTCCCTGTCCTCCTCTCTACAGGGACAGGGACTTGGCTCACTGCTGAGAAGCCACATCTGCCTTCTGAGCTCACTGTGCCGTGTGCCTTTCCCACTTCATCTCTGGTGAGACAGGCTGAGGCTACCAGAGGGGCACTCAGACTGTACTGTCCCTCCTTAGCTTCCAAGAAAACCCGTTCTGCTGGCCAGGGGACTTCCCTTCTGTCCCGGGCACCCAGGCCTCGGATCGTTTCTGCCCTGACCACCCCTCCCCTGTAGGATATACTGTGCCCCTGCCCTGTCCATCTGTTGAAGCCCCAGCCCCTGGGCCCCAGAACGGTGGACTGTGAAGACACTGGGCTGGGGGTGCAGCTCCGTGGCAGAGCTCTTGCCCAGCATGCACAGGCCCTGGGGTTTCCCCCAGCCCCAGCGGGCAAGAGGACACGCCAACCTGGACACCTCCATCTAGGACTTCCAGCCTCCAGAATGGAGAATGAACTTGGTACACCCTCCCCCACTTTGTGGCTCTGTTAGGACATTCCTAGCAAACTAGCAAGTGCCCCTGGCATCCCTCTCTTCCCTGGGGCCTGCTCCAAGCTTGTCCACACTGGCCTTCTGCTAGACGCTGGGGAAGGTGCCAGTCACCAACTCACCCCCATGGCTGGTTCCCCAACTCCCCACTACCAGAGCTAAGACTCAGAAAATGGAACCCAGAGATCACAAGTGCTTCTCACAGGAATCAGGTTATAAATAACCTCTGTACCACTTTGCTGGAATGTTCCCAGCACTATCGAGGTGGAGACTGACCACCTTGTGCAGGCCTTGCCCTGGTCCTCCTTGATGGGCATGGCAAGGCAGTATCCCCATTTTTCAGGTGAGCAAATTAGGGCTGAGGGGTACAGGATGTGGATGAGCTGGGATTTGAACCCAGGCCATTTGGCCAAGCCTGTGTTCCTCCTGAATCTCACTCAGCCTTTAACATTTTCCCTTGGGGTCGGGGGGGAAGAACCCAGGTCCGCACGCAGCCCACTGGATGAGCCCACTACCCCCAAGCTACACCCCCACCCCTCATGGCCTCCGGACTTCAGTAGAAAATGCAGTTTGGGGGTCTGTATCCTACCAAAAGCCTTAATGGAAACCACTGGAAAGCAGTCTGGCGACAGAAGCCAGGGCCTCACATGTGCTGGGCAATCGCTCTGCTACTGGGCACATGCCTGTCCCCAAATGTTCTAAAACAAATGTCTACTTTTGTTCACCCAGACTTGAAGCTTCCAGTTAAACCCTGTTAAACAAACACCAAACTGCCATTTTAAACTTAAATGAGTAGCTGCTATGGCATCCCAAAGCATGACAACTCCCACCAGCCTGTCTGCAAGGCTGACCTTTTGCATTTTTGGAATTTGATAGTTTTTCTTGAAGAGAAAGCCACTACTTACAAACACATCTAAAATTACACATTTTCATTAACACTTTAATGTTGTGTGGATTGTCTACTTCCAACAAATAGAAAACAAAGTTGGACATAGCTTCACATAATTTTAAGTAGCAAGTGCTAATGGTCCTCTGCAAGACTTCCGGTCTGGTGGGTGTGCTGAAGACCATGCGAGACCTATTGTGTCCCATCTGTCCTCTTCAACATCTGCTCAAGCTCCCTCCTGCCCCCAGTATTGGGGGTTGAACCCTGGAACACCGTACCATTGAGCTACATCCTCCACCTAGTTTTATTCTTGAGACAGGGCCTGGCTAAGTTGCTGAGGCTGGCCTGAACTTGCCATCCTCCTGCCTCAGCCTCCAAAGTGGCTGGGATTACAGGTGTGCACTACTACAATGACAGACCTCCAGGCCTCTGCCATTACCCAGCTGAGGGCTCCCCTCTCAGAAGCTGGGTTCTGCCTGCTTCTTCCTATTTTTCCCCTTGGCTTTTTGAGGCTCAGCTAGCTTGCGCAAGGCCTGAGGTATTTCCTGGTTCAGGTCTTTCTTCAGCTCCAACCCCCATGACCACCAGGTAGCTGGACACGCTCCAAGTCCAGCTATTCCTATGAGCCCCACATCCTACCCCAATCAAGCCAGCAGTGTGCTCTGGTCCCGCCACTGCCCTGTGGGACAGTAACCAAGCAGGGCTCTTCTCCCCCACTTGATCAGCTACTCCAGAAGGCCATGGCCATCTGTGCCCAGTGTTCACTCAGACTGGCCACAGGGAATGCCCGGGAAGGAAATGGAGGCCACTTGCCATGGGGTTCAGCCCAAGCCTGGCTTGAAGCCTGACCTTGCTACACTCCCTCCCAGTTACATCTCCATCTGTAAGACAGAGGTGATCCTGGTGGCACCACACCCAACTAGGGGAAGGGCACCAGCAACACCAAGCTGCTGCTACAGGTTTAAGGTCACTCAAGTCCAATATGGACACAGAACAGGAAGTGCTCAGGCTGGGGGATGCAAGCCTCCACCTGAACAAGATGAAAGGCTCATAGCAAACAGAAATGCCGCCTCAGGTGCAAGGAACCAAGATGCCACCCAAAGCAAGCATCTGCTGTTCCACGTTCTCCTAAAAATCAGAAAAGGAACAGGCTTTGAACGTAGTGAGTCAGGGGAACGTGACTTAGCTCCTCTCATCTCACCATTTCCTGGAACAGGGACGCCAGGTCTTTGAGCAACTGGCAATCTACGCACAAAAACACCCTTGTGATGAACAATGACCACAGCGATGCCGGCTTCCTTGTTCCCAGCTCAGTAGCCTCGAGTGCCTCCTGTCACTCACGGTGTTTATCTGTAAATACGTCACCCGCTAATAACGCACCAGGAGATGTTCCAGCAGAACTCAAAGTTCAGGCTTCCCCTAGACTTCACATTTCTAAATGTTTTAAGTATCAAAGATTTTATTTCACTAACTTTTCCTCAATTTTGTGAATCTTAGATTCTAAAAACTGAAATACAAACTATGTCAATATTAAGAAAAATAAGGACAAAACACCAGCAGTTTCCCTCCGGCCCCGTGGCCTTTGTGCTTCTGGCCAATCAGTGCTCATCGTCACCTCAACACCTGGGCTCCGACCCGTCCCCCAGACCCAGGGTTACGGGCCTGCGGGACCCCAGCACTCTGCTCCGATCTGCTATGCTCTAAGGCTGGTAGAAACCCCTGCTGCCAGACTCCACATGCCACTGGAGCTCTGAGGGGCTGCCAGGCCTTTCCTGCTCTTAACCCCAAGGAGCAGGGAAGCTTCACCCTGCTTAGGACAACGAAGACTGAGGCACAGAAGGGCTGAGCAGGGCAGGGCAGTCCAACCGCTGGGCACAGGAGCTCCACCACGCAGCAATGCCCGGACTGCCGAGGGGGGGTCAGACCCACCTGCGGTGCAGAGCACCCAGGCACACACTGCCTCGTTGCACCCACTGGCAGGGACTCAGGCCAGTGCAGCCCCGACAGAGGAAGACCCCGGGGCACAAGAGGTTAGCGACTCAACCAGGCGCCTGCGTGAAGGCACATGTCGGGAACCAGGATGACTGGCTCCAAAGCCTGCCTCTGCCCCAGCTAGCCCCACCATGAGGGAGACGCCACCAGGTGCAGAAGCCCCCAGGTACCGAGCACAGCGCGCTTTATTCTTTCAACAGACAAAAAGCACATTTCCTGAAACTGCAGTGAAGGCAGTCGCCTGAGGCAGATGAGGGCTCCTTCCTCCAGAGCAGAGAGGGAGGCAGACGGTGGCAGAAGCGATGGCACAGTCCTGATGGCGCAGGCGCTAGGTGCAGCTGGCGCCCTGGCATCCGGGAAGGCGGCTCACTTGAGGCGGTAGAGCACCTTGCGCTGCAGGCGGTGCTGGATCTCGCCCCTGCGCAGCATGAGCTGCAGCACCTTGTGGATGGCGTGCTCCGGGTACTTCTGCAGAGCACAGGACAGATATAGGAGCATGTCCCCCGGGACACGGGAGCCCACGTACCTGCTGCTGACGGCTGAGTTTTCAACTCCAGGCTGCCCTGGCTGTAGGAAGGGCTCAGACTTTCAGAGCGCCTGCTGTGCACCAGGCATTAACTTATCCCATCCCCAATAACCCCATGCAGCCGGCACAGCCCCATTCACAAAAAACGGAAGCACAGAGGGTTAACTCTCATGCTTGGGCTAACATGGCAATTAAGTGGCAGAGCTGAGACTTAAGTCCCTGTAACTCCAGGCCTCAAGCCTTGTCATCCCTAAACCTAAGATTCAGTCAGCTAGAGACCACGGGCCCCAGAGAGTGCTCTCGGGATGAAAATGGAAAATAATATTGCAGGGGAAACCAAAAACAAGGACTTGCCGTGATTTTAAAGGTAGCAGCTCCCCCCAATTTGGCACTGGGGAATTTATCTCCAGGGTGGCTTTATCTGAGCACATCCCCACATCCCCAGACCTTTTTTCTTGAGTCAGGATCTTGCTAGGGCCTTGTTAAGTTGCTGAGGTTGACCTAGAACTTGCAATCCTCCTGTCCCAGCCTCCCAAGTTGCTGGGATGACAGGCGTTCACCACCACGTGCGGCCCTACCTCTTCTCTATGGGATCAGTAACCCTGTCCTCAATGAGCGGGAAGGCTCACCCTCCTGGCTCTGGCCCTCCCAGCCCCGTAAGAAGCCAGGCAACTGAGGGGAGGAACAGGAGGACTAGGGGAAACTGAGTAGCCCCTTCCCTATCCCCTGGGAAATATCAAAAAGTATCCTTGCCCCTGACTGAAGCATCCCCGGGAGGGAACCACAGTTGTAGCACCCCACCCCACACAGGGCCCATCTACTGAGCAAAAGGACACTAGTGCTGGGTGGTAGGAGTTGGGCCAAAGAACACTTCCTGTACCCCATCAGGCTCCCAGCCATCCTGCCCTGCCCACCCAGCCCTAGCAAAAGCCCACCTGCTTGGTGAAGTCCTGGATGATGCTGTGCTCGGACACCTGGGAACCAATGGCAAAGCGGCGCTTGAGCTGCCTCTCGATGCGGCTAAGCATCTCCTGGTCCTCCTGGCTGGTGAAGCCCTCCACCCCTGCAGGTGTGAGACGGGTGGGTGTCAGGGTGTTGGGGACCTCTGGCCCAAGCTGGGAGGCCTGGAGAAATGGAGGCCTCCAACCCAAGAAAGGGGCCCAAGCCAAGTCCAAAAGAGTGCACTGGAGAACACAGGGCGCTGAGGGCCAGCCACGACCAGCCACGTGAGGGAGGGCGCTACAGGCAGAAGGCACAGCGGGCACAGCACACAGCGGGCACAGAGGGGGGATACGCCTGACTCGCTCAACAGTCTAGGGGCCCCAGTGCCAGCATGGTGACTAAGGGCCAGCTCCCACGGGCCCCCGGGGGCCACAGCACATGATTGTCTCAATTTTGGTGAGAGAAAGAGCCACTGCAGGGCTCTGAAGAAAGGACACGGGCCACTGTGTGACAACTGCTGGCAATCAAGTCCTGCAAGACTGGACCCACGGATTCTGTCCAGCTGGACAGCCACAGGACAACTTCCTGATGTAGAGCCAAGACCCAAGGTGGAGGAGACCAACAGCGACCCAGGAGGGAGGGCGGGCCACCCTAGAGACCACATCCAGAGGGTGCCAAGCAGCCTTCGGCAAGGAGGTCCATGGTTTCCAACTTCCCTGAGCTGACAGTGTTCCCTCCACCTGGGGTCTCCAGGGAGCCCAGTACCTCACTTCACACAGGTCACCCTGAGAGCCCCCACCACCCGATGGAAAGTAGCACCACTCCTTCTCCAGTATCCTGGTCCTGTGTCATGTCCCCAGGGCACCTTTCACTTGCATTTGTCTGTTTATTACCTCTTCCCCTCAAGAAAAATTGAGCCCACAGGGCAGAGACCTCGTGATGGTCTGCTTAGTCCCCAGGACCCAGAGAGTGCCGCCTGTGGGGAAGGAATGGCCCACCTCTAAAGGGCCTGCGCACATCCATGCTCAGAAGGGCTGCTGGAAGGCTGGCCAGAAGCAGGTGTTGTGCACAGGGACAGGGGCCAGGCAGCCTGCACTCCCACCAAGACCCCTGACCGGGGGCACCACGAGAAGGGCTCCCGGAGGGTTGGCTTTCTCATGGCTAGCACAGGAAGGACGGACAGACCAGACCAGCTTCTGGGTGTGGCCATCCAGGAAAATGAGAACAGCTCGGGAAGCACTGAAAACAGTTCTGAGCTCAGCACACAGAGGGCTGACGACTGCTCCTAAGCAACAACAAGGTTACCCCCAAACACCCGGACTGGGGACTGAGCCAGGGGCACTGCACCACTGGCCACAGCCCAGCCCGTTTTATTTTTTGAGACAAGGTCTCACTAAGCTGCTGGGGCCTCTCACCAAGTTGCTGAGGCTGGCCCTGGACGTTCCTGTGATCACAGGTGTGCGCCAAGGCACCCAAGATTTCTTTTAATGACTGCATTCAAGGGTCTGGAGAGAAGCTGCCTCCTCCCATGCTAGAGGACAGCCTGGGGGAGAGTACGTAGAGGACGCTCAGAGAAGCAGCACCTGCAGGCCGTCGGCACCCAGGGCCCTGCCCACACGGCCCCAGCACCTGCTCACCTGCTAGGGTGCCCGATAAGGCAGCATCCAATGTGGACACTTGGAAGAGCCTGAGGGCCTCCTCCACATCTGCCTCGGTGGCAAAGGGCTGCAGCTTCATCTTGCTGAGGGCCTCTGCAATGCGCACGATGGCCTCCAGTTGCCTGTGGGAGCAAAGGTAGGCGTGCTCAGGACTGGCGCAGCCCACACCGTGGCCGGGAGGGACTCATCCAAGGCAGCAGTACTATGGTGGAGATGGCCACTGCCTATAGTCCACCTTAGTAATGGAACTCTGCGCTTTATTCCAGCACTTGCCAACCCTCTAAAGGACACTTCCCAGCCTCTTCTGGTGTGTCTGTGTGACCAAGTGTGCCCAGTAAGCCACAAATCTGACCCCTGCGAGGGGACGTCAGAAGGATCCTCAGAGCATGTGCCCTTCTATCCCTTCTGCTCCCGCAACGTGGAAGAGCAGCTTTCTGCGGCAGGAGCGGGCTGACAGAGCACAGACTGCGACAACTAAAGAACCTGAACGGGCCGTCACCTCCTGACACTGCAAACTAGAAATAAACTCCGGGCTACCTAAGCTGCTTGAGTTCACCACTGCCACAGCCAAATCCACTTCATTAATCAGTGCTCCAGGGAGGACTCAACCGCATAGGCCCCTAATCCATCCACTATGCACAGTCTCCACACTCACAGCAAGGAGGGGCGGAGGCTAAGAAAACTACGACTGCAACTTCTCGCAGTCGCCGTGGGCCAGAAGCTGGGTCCAACACCCTGACTTCCAGGTCTGGGTCCTTTACTCACCTTCAGGCTGCCCCCCAGCGGGAAGCCAGACCAAATTCAAAAGAGGCGAGGTTCAAAGCTTCCCCAGACTTCAACAAACTGAGAAAGGCAGGTCATCAGGAGGCCACAGTGCAGACTCCTGAGGACCCTCCCCACCTGGACCCTCCCCGGGCCTGTGCAGGGTGGTCAGCAGTGGACCTCGGAACCCTTGCTCACTCACCGCACAGTGATGGGGATGCTGGAGCGGCGGTCACTGTCCCTCTCGTGCTGGCGGGCCCCACTCCGCATGATGATATAGCGGTTCTTGAGCTTCTCCGCAGCCTCTGCTGATAGCCGAGGGCCACACTTCCTGCAGGACGGTAGGGAACAACTAGCCTGAGCCCAGGAAGGAACCCTGGGGTGCCCACCGTGTCCCCAGTCAGAGCTCCTGCTGGCATGGGTTAGCCACATCAATGAGAGGGACTGAAGAGAAACCTGGGCTGCCTGTGGGCAGGCACCAGAGATCAATGCAGGGGACAAAAACAGGTGCCTCTGTCAGAAACAGGTGGAGGAGGTCTAAGCACGTTTCCAGTGGTGAACCCTACTACTGGACATCATGGAGTGGCTACCAGCTGGCCATCCTCACAGCAGCCTCCTGCTCCTCCACCCCAGCACACCTGTGGACACATCCACAAGAGGCTGGACGGGCAAAGGTAAATCTGGTCAGCCTCTACCTCCCTCCGGCCTCTCCACCCCAGGCCAACTGACAACCTGACTTAGGGGCACCCTAAAGCTGAGGAGACTGAGGACCAGAGGGAAGCAGCAGCTCCCCAGGATTTGGTGGTGAAGAGACTATATTTTAGGGCTCCCTGACTTGCAAACATGGGCCTTAGCTTCTGAAGACTCCGAGCTTCATCCTGGCAGAGGCGTCTGAATTAGGGACCTACCTGACCGCCACGGTGGACGGACCAAGAGCCCTCTACCCTTGAGGTTTAGCCTCTTCAAAAGATAACCGAGAGATGGGATGACCTCAGTGGTAGGTGCTGGCTTCACATGCCAGAGGCCCTAGGTTCAATCCCCATCGTCAAAAACAAATAAAAGATAACTAAGGTGTTGTGTGTCAAGAATCTGGGTGAGGGCTGAGATTGTAGCTCAGTGGTAGAGTGCTTGCCTTGCACTCATGAGGTCCTGGGTTCAATCCTCAGCACCTCATAAAAATAAATAAAAATAAAGATATTATATCCACCTACAACTAAAAAGAATTTTGGGCTGGGGATATAGCTCAGTTGGTAGAGTGCTTGCCTCACATGCACAAGGCCCTGGGTTCAATCCCCAGCACCACAAAAAAAAAAAAAAAAAAAAAAAAAAAAACCCAAAAAGAATCTGGGTGAGGTGCTGACTTCAATTCTCAGTACCACATAAATAAATAACATAAAGGTACTGTGCCCAACTACAAAAAAAAAAATGTTTAAAATAAAAAGAACCTGTCTCTGGAGGGAGGCGCCTGAATTCATATTCTCTTATGTGAGACCCTAGAGCTACTGAGCCTTGCTCTGCCTTGGTTTCCCGACTGGTGTAATAAAACTATAGTATACCTCATCACCTAACCTCTCAGGTTTGGGGGGACAACTAGGAGTTTAACAAAACACTCAGAATCACGCCCCACACAGAAGAAACTCTACGTGTATGATCATAATTACTGAAAACCCGTGAGCGTTATCATAACCCTGACTGCCACTCACGGGCCCTTGCTTGGTGCTGGGCTGGGCCAGGTCCTTGTCGCCCTGTGCAATCCTTACAGAGTCCAGCACACTGTCCAAGGTCAAGAAGGGTGGGTGTTACCCAGAGCCATGTCCACGATGACCTCCCGGTGGCTGACTCTAGGGGTTCTCAAGACCATCTTAACTCCCACTCCTCATGGAGCTAGAGAAACTGAGGCAGAGTCCTATGTGTGAGGCCGGAGAGGAGCAATGCAGATCCCACAGGGCCACTCCACACAGCCTTGTTGGAGGCATCCCAAGCCAGGAGGCAGGACCAAGGCCTCTGGGCCCCTTCCCTTCACATGGGGCGGGGTGGCGGGGGGCTGTGCCCCGCACTCACACTCGGCAGTAGGCGATGAACTTCTTCAGCTTGTTCAGGTCAATCTCACCCTCCACGGCCTGTGTTTGTGTCAGCGCGCTAACGTGCAGAGTGATCACGTGTTTGGCCAGCATCTGGGAACAGAGGGGTCACCAGGTCATCCCACAGACCTTCCTGGGCCTGGGTCCCCTTAAAGGTCAGGCAGGCGAGAAGAGCTGATGGGGTCCTGGCATCATGAAACCAGCAAGAGTGCTCAGGTCTCAGGACAGTGCTCGTCCCACAGGACAGGCCCCAACCCTTCTGCGCACATCTGCCCAGATGCCATGGCTCAGATGGAGTCCAGCCTCCAGTGCTTGGGAATGTGTCTATTTTAAGAATGGACACTGGATCCAACCAACAACTCTCCACCCTGGGACTTTTGCTGGACCCTCCTCTTAACTTAGGGGCAGATAAGCTACCAGCTCAAAGACAAAAGCTCATTGGTCCACCTCAAGGAGAGCAGCTGCCTGAGAACGAAGCTTCCACGGGAAAGCAGAGGAAGAAGAGCTGCCCAACAGCCTGGACCCACTGCTGGGCACGTCCGTTCTACAAGCCTTAAGTTCTTTTCTTTCAGAAACCCACTAACCAGAGCAGGGGTTCTCTTACGTGTAACCCAGCATCAGCCCCTCTGTTCCACAGTAAGAAGGTGACACCCAGGGAGGGTGATTGGGCCGAAATCACAGGGTCTCCCTCTTGGCAGAGGCCAGGCAGGCCGCAGGGCTCCAGGCTACCATCTTGTGTTCTCCCCGCTGACTCCTATGTGACTGTGAGGGCTTCACTGGCCAAGCACCTTGTTCCCCCTCCTCCAGGACCACAGGCTGGTCTGGAGCCCCTGGACATACCAGATCCCTCTCCTCGTTGTGCTCATCCTTGACAATGAAGATCATGTCGAAGCGGGACAAAATGGTGGGCATGAAGTCAATGTTGTCTTCCCCCTTTGTTTCATCCCAGCGGCCGAACACTGAGTTGGCAGCAGCCAGGACGGAGCATCGTGAGTTCAGGGTGGTAGTGATGCCAGCCTACAGGGACAGAGCAAGAGGGGAAGCGGGGAGACAGGTCTGTCCCACATATGCCCAGGTGGTACACGCTCACCTCTAGGCCTGCTGCTGCCAACACAAGTCTGGGCAAGCAGGGTCCAGGGCAGGCCATCAGAGCAGGCTGAGAAGGCTGACCAGGGTGCCCACCTTGGCGATAGAGATGGTCTGCTGCTCCATGGCCTCATGGATTGCCACACGGTCATCTTCCCGCATCTGAGAGGGGGAGAGAAACGTGCCCCACGCTTACCCAGGTAGGAAGCAGTAACAGAAGAAAAACCAGCAGGAGTTACCATTCCCAAGGACAGGCTGTGGCAACAGCAGGAACTTGGTCACCTCTAATCATGGTGACAAGCACATGGGCTTGGCTTTACTCTCCCTCATTTCTAGATATGGAAACTGAGGCTCACAGAGGTTAAACAACTCTCCAAACTTGCTCTAGAATGAATACAAGTCTCCCAAGTCAGGAGCACCTGACGTCACACACCTGGGTCCCATCTTCCACTCACTCACCTCATCAGACTCACCTTATCAAACTCGTCAATGCAGACAACCCCACCATCGGCCAGGACCATGGCTCCGCCCTCCATGATGAAGTTCCGGGATGAGGGGTCTCTCATCACCGAGGCGGTCAGCCCTGCGGCACTGCTGCCCTTCCCAGACGTGTACACCTGGGGAGAGGCAGAGGCGGTGGCGAGGGCCCAACACCAGCTCCAACCCATGCTTTGACTCAGCATGTCAGTCAAGGGGCCCAGTGGGTCATGATGGCCCAGGTCTCACATCAAAGCAAACCATGAAACCTGCAAAGAACTCAAGGCTCACTGAGAGCCCCTCTCTCTGGCAGGGAGGAGCCTGGCTTCAGCTGGCCTGGACACTCACCCTGGAAAAAGCATGGCTCAGCGGGTCCTGCCATCTCCCATGAGAAGAGCACTGACCCCCAGAGAAGGGAGACACACTGCTAGGTAGCCTCAGGGCTTGGGTGGGGATTACTGGTTCCCACATGGCTGGCCCCACCCAGAGCCCCCTGGCATCTACATAGACCTGGGTGCCACATGCTGCCACTGAGCCCTTGGAACATGGCGAGACCAAGCTGAGATGCCATTTAAGTGCCAGGTGCACACTGACCACAGCACTAACAAGAGCGTAAAGCGCTCCCTCGATAGCTGCTGCATCAGGGCGGGTGCAGCGCGGCTTAAGGCAAGCGTCTAGCCTGCAGAGCGCAGGCTCCTCTCCCGGCACCACAAAATAAACCACCACCATCAACACAACTGTTTAAATCACGCTATATAAATCACACTGAGAAAATTTCTGATCCCTTTCACTTTTTTCAGTGTGGCTGCTAGAAGATAGAAAATGATGCACGGCTCACACTCCTAGGTCACATGAGCCTCTACCGTGGGACAGAGCTGGACACTTCCTCTACTCCCGCCACCCACTGTGCAGCCTTGTCCACTGACCCCAGCGGCCACTCCCTCCCCAATTTGGACAGCCAGACCCACTCGATGCACAGGGGGCCCGGTTCAGATGGCTGGTGCCAGCCCTGACCTGGTGCTCACCAGCAGGGGGACCCCGGGAAGACACTTCTCCATTCCGTTCCCTCAGGCATAACGTGGGGTAATGGCTCTCACTGCAGAGCTGGGGAGTCAGTAAACACACCCCAGCACTTCCGCAGTGCCTGGCCCTTGATCTTCACAATTATCATTACCAATATCATCAATCTCAGGGAGATTAGGAGACTTGCTCAAAATCCACTGTCCACTCCTGCCCTGGCTGAGAGCCCCAGTCTCAGTCTAGTGCGCTCACCCCCACACCCAAGCTGCACATGCCTGTAGGTTCCCTTTGTTCCCTCCCCTCTGCCGTCCCACCACAGCTAGGAGGGAAGAGGAGGTTCTGAATGAGCCAGCCCACCCTGGGTCATCCAGGGACCCCACAGTCCCGCTCATAGCATCTTCCTTGCTGGGACAGCCAGCTGGGAAAGGGTATCCCAGGCCACTCACCCCGATGGGAGAGCACTTCTCCACGAACTTCAGGAGCTGGGATTTGGCCGTCCCGGGGTCTCCCAGCATCAGCAGGTTGATGTCTCCTCGGCGAGTGAGTCCATCTGGGAGTCTGGGGACAGAGGGAGAGAGAATTCACTGGAGTGAGGGCTTACCTGGGCTGGTCACCCCAGCCTCTCGTGAGGACAGAGCAGCAAGAAGGCAGGAGCTCTGGTCTGAGACCTCGGTTCACAGCCAGCTCTGTGGCTCCCTGAGCACGGCAGGCCTGGCCTGACAATGGAGGACAGAAAGTACCTCCCAGGGGAGGAAAGGGAAAGGAAATGGTGCTTATAGCTGTGCGGGGCCCCAGCCAGCAAGAGCTGGAAAGGAAAGGCCGCTGCCTGTGGGTGGGCTGTGCATGTACAATGGAAAGGGAGCCAGAGGGTGGCTCACCCAGATGCCTAGGACCAAGTCCCTTTGCTCTCTCTGCCTCAATCTCCTCATCTATAAAACAGGCACAAGAGCAGCGTTCTCACAGGCTTCCTGCAAGGACTGCTGGGTTTCAGACACTCAGGAAGAAGCCTGGAGCACAGCGGGACTGCAGGAAGTGGCAGCTGTTAGCGTTTCAAAAGGACATAATGTCCTGTGTCAGCCTTTTCACCCATTTCTTTCACACAGAAACTTGGGTTCAGATAAGTGGTGTCTCTCGCCCAAGGACACACAGTAAGGAACAGTGGTACCCAGACTCTAAGCCCAGTGCTCTCACTGCTCCTGCCAGCCCTCCCCAGCCCACTTCCACCCAGGGCCAGAGGAGCCCGAGACTGGCACCAGGACGAACAGCTAACAGCAAGCCTGGGAAACGGGGAAAGAGCACTGGTCCTGCAGGCCATGTCACTAGCCCCCACTCCCCAGGCCCTTCACCTCTTGCGGGAACCCCCAAAGAGCAGGCAGGCAATGGCCTTCTTCATATCTGTGCCCCCAAAGATAGAGGGGGCGATGCTCTTGGAGATGACCTCATAGACGTTGGGGAGGGCGGCCAGGCGACGGAACTCTTCCTCCTCCTGTGGGCTCACGGCCCCTGCAAAGCTGCGTCCTAGGTGGGCAGGGAGGGTGCAGAGTGTGAGGGGATCTACTCCAGCTCACCGTCCAGCGGGGCCCCCGCTCAGGCACCCCGAAAGCAGGGCCCGCACAGCACAGCTGCAGCCTAAGTAAATGCTACCCTGGAGACCAAGCCCTCAGGAGGGCCGCGTAGGCTCTGGGTGCAGAAGGACAGAGGACTCAGAGGGCCAGAGGGTGTCGGCCTTGGGGACTACTGGCCATCTCAGCCAGGGAGTAATGTCTTCAAACAGCACCGCTCACTCTGACGACCGTGAATGGGAAAGGCAGGATGAGGACCAACAATCCAGGGGAGAGGGCAGAGGCTCAGACCAGGTTGGGGTGATGGGCAGTGGTCAGATCCTGGGCACATTTAAAGGAGGAAGGGCCAGATATGCTCACAGATGAGGCACAGGGAGGAGAAAGGCACTGAGGAGGTCTTGGAGGGTTCTGCTGAGCAGCAGGAAGGAGGGGAGAGAGGGGAAGGAAAGACTGAAAGGGAGCCAGTTTGGGGGCGGGGGATAAAGGAGATCAGCCATAGCCACGCTGAGTCCGAGACGCCTCTTGGATGCTCCAAGTCAATGGCTGGATATGAGTCTGACACAGGGAGACTCCAGGCTAGAGACGGACATATGCAAACTGACAGCATACAGGTGACTCAACTATCCAGGCAGTACAGCGACCCCTCTAAACCAACTCACCGCAGCGGGAGGGCAGGGACTTCTCCCACCCTCAGCTGTAATCACATGCCCTCCACTCCATTACCCAGCTCACCCACTCACCACCCAGACTCCCACTGACTCTCCACACACCCCCCAGCCAGGCCAGGGTTCTCACCAGCTCACCCCATCCCCTCCCACCTGGAAGAGCTCCCCCAGCCTTCTAAGTCCAGCTCAGACACCCCATAGTCACTCAGCACCCCATGGGAACTGCACGCCCTAGCACCTGACACTCCTCGCTCCTGCCTCCCAAAGGCCTGCATTCCCCTCTCCCACACGTGCTGCTATGGTGATGCAGACCGCCACTCAGGAATTCCCTGCCAGCTTCAACCCTGCATCTAGGCAAACACCCTCAGTCAAGGGCCAACAGCAGGGACCAAAGGTGCAAGTGTCAGGCCAAGAAATGCTTGCTCACTCTAAAACACCAACACTCAAGGGCGTGAACAACACAAGGGTGTCTGGGCTGCCTCCCAAGGTACTGCGCTACCTGCTGAGGGCAGTGTGCAAGCCCAGCCTTCCAGCAGGGGGCCACACCAGGACCCCAAAGCCAACTCACCAGAGCCATCTGTGTCCACCTGGATGCCCAGGACACGAATATAGGAGCTCCGAATGCCCACACCCACCCTGTCACGACCCTTGGTGGAGTTTAGGCCATACTTCTTGATGGAGTAGATGCCCATGATGGTGACCCTGTTTCCAGGGACAACCTTGTCACACAGGTACCTAAGATGAGGGCAGGGAAGGAAGAGAGAGAAGAGTGAGATCCTGGTGGGGACAGCAAATACCTGCTTACGCCCATTCCCACAGCACCCAGAGCCACCCTGGCATTCCCACCTCCAGCACTACACCCTCAGCCAGCCCCACCCACACCAGGCCCAGAGGAGGGTCCCTCTCCCCTCAACACCACCACCCCATGCCTGGATGGCTCAGTCGTTCAGAGCACAGCCTCACTCTGGCGTGGCAGCCTCACTCTGAACTCAAGAGCTCGTTTGTAAGGTGTCCGAGGAGGTGGCTCAGGGTCCTGCCCCTAGTCTTTGAGAAGCCCCCTCTGGTCTTATCCGAGTCAGGCTCCTGTGCGGATCCCTTCCACCATCTTGGGAGGACTTCCTCCCCAGGCCCTCCTTGAGGTGCTCCCCACTTGAGCCTCTACCTCGCCCCATGAGCTTAGCCAAATCAATTTGCCTCTGGGCTTTCATTTCCTCTTTTTAGAAATAAAATGTTGCAACAGGGAAGTCTCCAAGTTCCCCCCGAAGCTGGGCAGCACAGAGCAGGCACACAGTAGCCATGTGACCTCAAAGAAGTCACTGCAACTCTGAGCCTGGGGGGGTGATATACTATTTCTAACCTGCCTCAGCCAAGTGGAACTAAGTAAGGTAACAAATACAAAGGTGCTCCACACACCACCAAGAGTCACGTCTAGTGAAAGACCACCACTGTCCCCGTCATTTTCCCATTATTTATCCCAACGACTCATTCCACACCCTACTTAACTTTAGGAACACGTACCTCTGAAGAATAACCCAAGCCTTAATTTGTGTTAAGGGGTTTTACTAAGCTCTTGGCTTGTATTTTAAGCAGCCCTTTCAGAGATCAGATTGTGCTTGTCACCATTTACACATGAGAAAACCAGGGCTTGGCAAACTAGTAACTAGCTCAAGTCTGACCTGTCCTGCACCCTCCATGGCCACCAGTGGGGCTCAGGAAAGCTACTATCACTCCACAGTACGCTTACATATAGAACACGTGCCCTCCACCTCAGAGGTGCAAGGCCAGGCTAAGAACTCCAGGCCAGGGTCTCTAAGCCTCTCCAGGTCCCCGTGGGGGACCAAACCAAACACCCACCTCTCCCTTTCCAATTATTTAGCAAAACTCTAGGCTTTTTTGATACTAGGGATCACACCTAGAGGCAGCACTGAGCTACATCCCTAGCCCTTTTTAGTTTTTGAAACAGGATCTTGCTAATTGCCCAGTGTGGCCTTGAACCTGCAATCCTCCTGTCTCGGCCTCCCAAGTGGCTAGGATCACAGGCATGCACCACCACAACCAGCTCCCAAAGCAGACTCAACAGAAAGCCTGGTGGGGTGGGGTGATCTGGGCAGAGGCTTTCCACGCTGCTGCTTAGCTGGATGTGCCCAGGGCCTGTGGGTCCTGAGAGTGCTGTGGAGATCTCCTAGGAGGAACATGGGCTTTGGCAAGCAACAGATGCAGGCTTGAGGCGGCTCCTCCGCTCAGTCATTCAACCTCTCCAAGTTACACTTCTTCACATACAAAACAGGAGCTGATGTGCCCCGGCTGACTAAGGGAAGCCAAGAAGAGGAAGCCAACAGGAAGCACCAGGCACAGAGAAAGTGCTACCCAATGAGCCATCCTCCTCCCACCGCCCACGCTTCAAATGATCCATGCCCGGCAACAGCCCTCACGAAGGCCCCCTAGCGGGCCTGCCCACCTCACCTGTCACAGTAGAGCTGCATGTGCCTGGGCATCTCGCCGTGGGGCACTGCATCAGGCAGCTCCTGCAGCTTCAGGGTCTGGAAGTCCACGCACTTGCACTTGTCCGGCATGATGAAGTACGGGTCGAGCGGGCACTTGGGGCGTCCAGCCTGGTCCCTGTTCGGGAGGGATAGTCACCAGAGCTACCCTGAGAGCCCAAAGGCTGGGGCTCATCCACTCCAGAGGTCAGCAACAAGATGTGGCTGAAGGTCACTGAGGAAAGGCCCTAAATGGAGGGCAGGTCTGCTGCACTAGCAGCACACAGGAGTCAGGGGAGTGATGGGAGGCCTGGCCCCCCAGCACGGTGAGGCAGCAGACAAGCCTCACTCACAATCCCCTGCCAGGGCCCAGCACCCCACAGTTGAAGAGGTCGAGCTCATCAGGTCCCTTACTGAACCCCACTCGCATCCCAGGACCTTTTCTCATGAGACTCGAGGCACCTGCAGGCCATTCTGAGGGTCCGGGCCTCTATAAACCCTATGCAAAGTCTTCATTCAACCAACACAACAGCAATGGGCACAACGCCACAGCAATGCACTCGCACACTCCAGACACTGCACCAGACACGGCGGTGAACCAGAAGCTCCCGCTCTCAAGGAGCCAAGTTCTACACAAAACAAGCAAGTAACTCAGTAATAGGATGACCGGCACGTGCTCCAAGGTAGAGACAGGCAGATGAGTAGCCAAACTGTGTGCACCAGACCAAGATGAGGGTGGGCAAGACACCTATTGCGAGGATCATGTGAAGAGCACTCAGGACAGACTGGCAGCCTGAGGGAAGGGGACAGCAAGTTCAGAGGTCCTGAAGCTGGGAACAGAAAGGTGACAGAGGAGTGGGGAGAGCCCAGAGAGAGGCGGAGCAGACTGAGGGAAGGCCCAGCACCTGCAGTGAGGGCTGCCTGGCGGCAGGTGGAGCAGACCGGAGGGGCCTAAGCCCACATGACTCCAAGGTGAGACAACAGCAGGGACTGAGGCAGACGTGCCACAGGTGGCTGGGAAGCCAGGAAGGTGCCAGTGGAGGCCAAGGAGCAGCCAGTGTGAGCGTGGAGTCCTCTAGAGGGCCAGGCAGTGAATACGCCAGGCTCTGAGCACAGGCCACAGGCTCTGCCTCTGCAGCCATGGGCACATGCAGTGAAGGCGCGCAGCTATGCGGTTCACATGCAGCACCTGGCCAGCAGCCAGGCTGCTCTAGGGGATTTCCAACGGACTCTGCCCTGGACTGTGCTTCCTTCCTAACCTGGTTGCCCATTCAGGCTGTCTGGGCATCCTGGCAGGGACAGAACTCGCTGTGGCAGAAGGACATCACACCCCAGGTATCAGAGCACAGCCTGCCCCAGCCTGTCCCAGCAGGTCTCTAATGAGATGCGGCAGGCAGGGTTGTCACCAATTTCCACTGCTTTCCGGCCCCAAAGTCCCTCCTGGCCACACTCACGTGTTGCACTTCCTGGGCAGGGCGTAGCCCTCCAGGCCAGGGCGCATGGCGATGTTGGTGAGGGTGTTGCGGCAGCTGCGGCACTGAATGGAGATGCGGGTGGCCTTGGCACGGACTGCAGAGGCCGCAATGACAATGCCAGGGATCTTCACCAGGTGTGACATCAGGTCTGACTGTAAGGGAGCCATCAAAAGGCTTGTTGGTTAGGGAGCCAGAGGCCACCATAGAGCTGCTGGGGAATGACCTGCACAGGGTCTGGAGGAGGTGGCCCTGAGCCACAGGGAAGGTCGCAGCTCTTCTGCTCAGCTCAGAAGATTTCTTGGGCACCCACCAAATGCCAAGCTGTCTGGAAACAAGGGCTCCAGGAGCCTCAGGTGCAGCCTCTGCTTCTCAGGACTTCACCACACAAGGGAAAGGGACAGGGGCGAGACCAGGAGACGCACTCCACTCCACAGCAGCAGAGCCAGGAGACCTGACCCAGCTCTGACAGCAATTTCCCTGGACGAGGGCAGACCAGAGCACCAACCTGGAGGCAGGGACCCAGGTTCTCTTTCAAGTTGTCAAAAGCCGCACAGGGCCCTCTCTCTCAGCCTGAGTTTTCCCATCCTCCTCCTCCCGCTTTAGTGCCCACGATCAAGTCCTGGGTATGCAAAGCACACCTCTGCCACAGACTAAACACCCACCGCAGCTTCTCCACCAGTTACCACCCGACGCTGGACACCAAGGCAATAATGTGAATTTGTAAGTGTGAAGTTGCAGTTACCAGCTTTCTTGTCTTTTCAAGATACACACCAGAAAATTTTCAGATGAATTGACGATGTATGGGGATCACTTCAAAAGAACCCCAGGGCCACAGAGGAGGCAAGACTGGCTACAGATGCTATGAAGCCGGGTGAGAGGTACAGGAATCCACTAGCCTAATCTCTAAATCCTAAAACATTAAGGAAAACTCCAGGCGCCTGCTGCTTCCTTGCCAGCCCCCAGCTCACAAAGCTCCTAGGACACAAGTCTGCAAGACTAGGACAGTCTTTCTCCACCAGGGTTACCTTGGGCTGAATGAAAGAACAGACACAGGCACAAGGCTTCGTTGGAGCTCTTGAACAAACCAGGCACTGTGGGAAGGAGTGAGGCTGAAAGAGGCTAAATTCAAGGGTCTGTGCCTGTGTTGTCACTATGGGAAGATGAAGCTGTTGCCACCTTAACCTGGGACCTGATCAGCACCAACATGGCTGATGACGGACACCCAAGCCATCCCTCTCCTCTGCTGGGATGCAACACAAAACACCAACACCACTCAATAGTATTCTTGCCCAGAGTGTGAAACCAAACACAACCAGACCTTTGGACCCAATTCCCAAGTTCCAAAATTCATGGGTGGCAAGGGGCATGCCACCAACCCAAGGAAGCCTTAGATAAATTGACAAGGCAGCACATTCTTCTACAGGACAATGAGCCCCTTCTAATATAACTGAGAAAATATTTATATCCAGAAACATATAGGAGGCTCCCTGGATTAAAGAAGACTTCCATATAACAAGCTAATATAATTCCTGGTCCTGCTGAAATACATGAGTTATAAAAAGCATGGGGGAGCTGGGGCTGTGGCTCAGCCGTAGAGAGCTCACCTAGTATGTGCCAGGCTGAGTTAGAGCCTCGGCACCACATAAAAATAAGTAAATGAAATAAAGGTATTGTGTCCAACTACAACTAAAAATTAAATTAAAAAAAAAAAAGCATCTAAGGGAATTAGGTAAATATGAATCTATATGATATCTGATACCAAGTTCAAAACCAGCCTCAGCATCTGATACCAAGGGATCTTTGTTAACTTTGTTTGGGTGTTGATAGTGCGGAGTATGTGAGAAGCCATATTTTAAAAATACATACTAAAGTGTTTAGGGATAAAGTGTTACATCTGTATTTACTTTAAAATTCCTTAGTAAAAAAATAAAATTCAGAAAAGAGTTAAAAAAAAAAAAAAAGCAAAATGTTACAATCAGTAAGGGTAGTGAAGATACATGAGGCACGTTATTACTCTATAATTTTGTATAGGGGTGAAATTTTTCATAATAAAAATTAAAAATAGCTAGGTACAGTGGTGCATGCCAGTGATCTCACCAGCTTGGGAGGCTGAGGCAGAAGGACTACAAGTTCAAAACCAGCCTCAGCAACTCAGCAAGGTCCTAAGCACCTCAGCGAGACCCTGTCTCTAAATAAAATATAGAAAGGGCTGGGGATGTGGCTCAGTGGTTAAGTGTGCCTGGATTCAATCCCCAGTACCAAAAATAAAGAAAGAGAAGTCCCTTCCTGCCCGGGCTTAGTGGCGCACACCTATAATCCCAGTGGCTCAGAAGGCTGAAACAGGAGGATCTCGAAGTCAAAGCCAGCCTCAGCAACTTAGCAAAGCACTAATCAACTCAGTGAGGCCCTTTCTCTAAATCAAATACAAAATAGGGCTGGGGCTGAGTGGTCGAATGTCCCCGAGTTCAATCCTCAGTACCAAAAAAAAAAAAAGTCCCTTCCATCATCTTTTCTTCCTATTCCAGTAGGTTTTCTGGAACAGAGGAGCCGCATCCATGCTGGAGCCCCCTCTGAAGCCTGAGGTTTAAGAGAAACACAGGAGGCTGGCCACCTCTCTGGAGTAAACATGTCCAGAGTCACAAGGCTCTGCCCAGACAAGGGACATAGAAGCCTGCAACAACCCACAGAGCAAGTGTTGTGCAAAACAACCTGCAAAGGACAGGGCCCCTGGCTCTCCAGGATCAAAGGGCCTGAGGTCGCCCCCTTAGACCCACCCTAACAGGCAATCCTTCCAGAGAGGGCTCATGCTCACTGAAGTGGACCCCTCATTACGGAGCAAGACAGAAGACCCTGAGAAGTCGGCCTCTGATCTAGCACTGCCCTGCCAAACCATGCCACCCTACAGGCAGGCACTCCAGGGAAACTCAATTGGCTCCACACAGGCTCACAGAGTCCCCATCAAAGTGGACACCATCCAGAGACTGGAGAGCCCAGAGCTTTGGGGAACAGACCTGCTGTCCTGCTAACCACGGAAGGCTGGATAACGACCCTGACAAAGCTGCGAGGACTGTGGGGTTCTGGTAAACACAGCACAGCCTTCTCAGACATAGAGCATGATGGAGGTGACACTAGGTGACAGGTGACACCTTCACTGGCTCCCTACTGTGCTCCAAACAAAACCCATGCTCTTTCCTGTGGCCATGAAGGCCCTTGCAATCTGGCCTCTCCACCTTTCTCTCCCCAACCCTGTGCTCTCTGGGTTCCAGCTGCTTCTTCCTGATCCCTGAACGTCCCTCTGCTGCTGCTCTGCCCGGGCACACGCTGCTCCCTGAGCTTGGAAAGCTGATTCACAGACTGGAACCCGGCTGGGTGGGCATGGGCACGCTCCAACTCCAACCCACTTCCTCCTGGAGGTCTTCTCTAGCCACCCTCCACCTCTCGGGCAGGCTCACGTGGCACCCACTTTCTTTTCTTCATGCCTCTATCACGCTGCGATCTTCTAACTGTTCCTTTCCTGTTTCTCCCACTGTAAATTCCAAGAAAGCAAGCGCCTGTTCTGCTCACAACAGTGAGCACCCAGCGCATCTGCTCAACAACACAGAGAGTAGACAGCAGATTGTTCTGCCAGCCTCTCCTGCTTCCTCGTGACTCCTCAGCCACGGTGGGGGGCTGCCAGCACAGCCCTGGCGCATGTGCACACACATACACCATGCCCTCTCAGGCTCTGCACCAGCTGAACCCCCTTGGATGTCACCTCCTCCATGAAGGCTTCTCCATCTTTCCTAGAGAGGCTTCACACCCTCAGGTCCCTCTCTTAATGGCTTTTACTGTATTTCCAACCATCTAAGAATATGTGACGTTTACTGGTTTCTTGGTCTCCCCAGATATAAACTGAGAACAGGAAAGAGCTGGGAGTATAACGTTCATCATTGCTTCTCCAGGACTCAGCCGAATGTCTTGCCCACGGGATAAGCTCAATAACTATCTGTCCAATGACCCAACTTTAGAGAGAAGAAAACAGGCTCAAAAGGGCCAAGTGTCTTGCTCAGGGTTACACAGCTAGGCCCAGGGCTGCTTGTCTTGAAATCCCTGGCCTCTATGGACCCACCTTGAGGCTCCGAATGCTAGACGGGCTGGCGTCTGACTTCAGCATGACCTGGATGTCCTGGAGCACCTCCTCACCAGAGGGCCGTGGCCTGGTCACCTCATCAGCCACCTCCTTGGCAGCTTCCTCCAGCTGGAGAGGAGGGAGAACACAGGCTGTTGGTGGTTGGGTAGGGCCAACCCTGGGGGCTGAGCTGAGGCAGGTCCCACTCACCAGCTGCAGGTGCTCGGCTGGCTGCTTGTACAAGTAGTCGGCCAGGTCCTCGTCAAAGCTGGCCAGGTCCTCCATCTCCACCTCAACCCAGTACTCCCCCAGGTTGTAATGCCGCTTGAGTTCATCTCTGGAGTAGGCAGGGAAGGGTGCAGAGAAGAGGGAAATAACTGGCTGTGGCACACCTGCACCCCCAGAACCTGCCCCACCACTCCTCATTCCACCCTTTAGCCCTGCAGAGGCTCCCTACTGCCAACAGAAACGTCTTCCAAAGAACAGCTCCATGGTGCAGCTAGTGAGGTGCGTCCAAGCACAGTGACGGACACACATTGGCCAACCAGTTCCTACACTGCAGGACCCCTCAGCACCATTAACTCACTCTTGGAGAGCAACAGGACACATGCCTCAACTTAGAGGGCCCAGGGCAGCAGCAAACCCACATCTGCCTTGCCAACTACCACACAGACTCTATGAGGAGCATCCCATGGGCTCCTGTCCCAAGGACACATCTGGGGACCATGGACCTAAACACAATCTGCTCCCAGCCCCACCGCATCACAGATCCAGTCCCTCCTACCTCTTATATCCAGGAGCCAATAAGATGTGCACTCTGACCCTGGCTGTAAAAGCACACCCTGTACACATTACTCCATGCACACGGCTGCTCCTACCTAGAATGCCACACATGCTTGGCACTGTCCACTCAGCGAGTCTCCTCTGGAAACCTTCCCCACCTCCCTCCACTGAGGCAGTACCACTTGGAATCCGTTGGTGCCCACACCTTGTTCCCCAGACTTATGAGCTTCCTGATGACAGGCAGTTTGTCTTTCCATGTCGGTTTCTCAGTGCCTGGCACATAGGCAATGCCAGCTGCTGCACCAACAGATGGTGGCAGGAATGGCTCTACCCATCCTTCTGATAAAGAAACTGAGGCCCACAGAGACTGCCCCCGGGGAGGCAGTGGGCTACCATTGCTGGAACTGTGAATTCACAGTTCAAAAGTCATGGGTGCCGGGGGAGGGGGAGGCTAGGCCTGCAGGGGCTCCACCTGCGGTGGCCGGCTGCCCAGTGGACCAGGAGCAGGAGGGCCGCCCAGCTCCCACGACAGTGCCTGGCATGCAGCAGGCGCCCAACCAGATGAAAACCAGAACCAATGAAAACCAGAACTAATGCACGGGCAGGGAAGTGAATCACACCTGCCATCCCCAACTTTTGTGCCACTGAGAACGCAGGGACCTTGTCATAGACACTACGTGCAAGGACGGAAACTAGGAAGTGGCCCTGCTCTAGCTGGGCTGCTGGCAGCCCACGCGACAGGTGACTCCTTCCAACCTTAACTCTGGGGGCAAAACAAAGCAAGCAAAACCGGGGGTTGAGGGGAGCAGGATGCGCCGTGGACCCGTCACCCGTTTGCCCCGCTCGTCCCCGCGGGCTGGACCTCAAGCCCTGTCCGCGCGTGCGGGACCCCGCTCGCCCTGCTCGTCCCCGCGAGCTGGACCCCGCGCCGCGGCCGCGCGCACCTGTACTTGAAGGTGAAGCCCGTGCGGTCGGTGCCCACCCGGTACTGCCGCAGGAATTCCTTGAAGCGCCGCTGCAGCTGCGACTTGCGGGCCTGCCCCTCGTCGGCCCCGGGGTCCCCCCCAAAGCTGTCGCTGTAGAAGATGCCAGGGTCGTCGAAGCCGGACATGGCTGCACCTGCGCGGGGACCGAGAGCTGGAGCGGGCCGGGGGCGCGCGCGGCTGCCCCTCCCCTACCAGGCCCGGGTCGTCGGCCCGGAACAGGGGAAGTCGCGGCCCCGACACGGCTGCCCTCCCGGACCCGCTCGCCAGGCAAGCTGCGGCCCACCCCCTGAGCATTCCGCGGACGTCCGCGAGCCCCACAGCCTCACCTTCACCGCCGCACTACACACTCCGAGACACACGCAGACCCCCGCGCACTGCCGCCGAGTTTCGCGGGAAAAACGAGACGCTGCGTTCGTACGTCGCGGGCGGTGCGTTCCCATTGGTTCTTCAGGGCCCCGCGGCCAGCGATTGGACCGCTCTGAGACCGGGAGTCCCGCCTCTCGGGACGGCTGCCGGAGCGGATTGGGTGTGGCTCGCGTGACGTAATGCCCCCGCCTCTTTTCGGGCTCCATTTTGTGTGCGGAATAATTTGGCGCGAAACTTCTGACTTGGACGGAAGTGGTGCGGGAGGCGCGGAGCGGACCGAAGATGGCGGGAGGGCGCGCCGCAGGCTGCTGTGCCCTTCTCTTAAGACTTTTTTAAGGTCTCAAGAGAAAATGACTCCATCCAAAGCCATGGGGATTAAAAAACAGAATGGCGGAAATGGTAGGGTCCCGTTGCCCCGTTTTGTAACGGGAGACGGGCCCCGAGAAGGACGGCAGGGTGCCACGCCGCTCGCTGCACCCCAACAGCCAGAGGCGACAGTGAGTCACAGATGGTGACCCGGTCCCTTCGCCAGCCGCGGAGGACCACCGATCTCGCAGGCCCGGTCCTAAGGAGCTGTTCTGCCCTCTAATGGTGGATTTACAGCCTTTGGCGATGCCTAAAGCCTTGGGGAAAGGGCCGGCCGGGGGCCGCGTCCTCCGGCACCGCCCTGGCAACCCGCCGGGGACCCGCTTCTCTTCGCGGGGACACGTGTTTACTGAGAGCGTCAAGTCGGGTGGCCTGGTAGTGTGTACAAAGAGCCGGGCGGCTCCGGAGGCCCAGGCAGGAGGGTCGCAAGTTCGAGGCCAGCCTCACTCAGCCACTGAGCGAGTCCCTGAGCAACTCAGAAAGACCCAGTTTTAAATTTTTTTTAAAAAAAGGGGGGGGTGGCTGAGCATGTGGCTCAGAGGTTAAGCGGTCCTGGGTTCAACCCCTGGTGCCGCAATAACTAAAGAAACTATCTAGCTAAGGACTTGCTCAGCGTTGGAGCTGCGGGAGGTCCTGGGGTCCATCCCGAGTACCGCAAAAATAAAACGACAGTAAAAATGAGCTCAGCAGCTTCCCGTATTTGAGAAGGGGCATAATATCTGCTATGGTTGGAATGTGTCCCCAGGTTTCCTCGTTGGAGAAGATGCCCAGTGCAGTGGTGTTGGGACGTGGGGCCTAACGGAGGTGTTTGGGTATTGGGGTCACCGACCTCCTGAATGGATTAAAGTGTTATTTTGGAGTGGGTTATTCTCTCGCCTTCTTCCTTCTACCACGGGATGTCATAGCAAGAAGGACCTTGCCAGATCCCGCTGGCCCCTCCAACTTGAACTTCCCAGTCTCTAGGACATTGAGCTAAAGAGATTTCTAACCATTGTAGACTACTCAGGGTCAAGTATTCTGTTACAGCAGCACAAAGTGGACCTAGACAATACCAAAAAAAATTATTTTTTTTGACTTTGAAAAGCCTGCGTGCATAGTCCCCACCTGCTAAGACCTGGTAGGAGAGGGTGAAGCAGGACCCTAGGAGGCAGGGGCTTCCGCTGTGCGCTGAGAAACTGGGCAAGCACAGTCCTCAGGATGCTTAGGGACCCGCAGAAAGATTTTCAAACTAATTTCTTTTAAAATCAGAAGATTTGGGCTGGGGTTGTGACTCAGCTGTAGAGTGCTCACCTAACACGTGCAAGGAGCTGGGTTTGATCCTTAGCACCACATAAAAAAATAAAGGTCTTGTGTACAATTATAACCAAATTATTTTTTTTAAATCAGAAGACCTGGGTGCTGTGGTGCACTCTTGTAATCATAGCTACTGCTAGGAGGTTGAGGCAGGAGGATCCCAAATTTGAGGCCAGCCTGAGCAATTTTGCAAGACCAAGGTAGAATAGGTAGAAAGAAGACAAACAGGGAAAGGGGGTCTGCAGGGGTTGGGGCTGTAGCTCTGCAATAGAGCACTTGCCTGGCATGTGTGAGGCACTGGGTTCAATTCTCAGCACCACATATAAAATAAAGGTCCATCAACAACTGAAAAAAAAGTTATAAAAGAGGGGATGTGGCTCAAGCGGTAGCGTGCGGCCTGGGTTCAATCCTCAGCACCACATACAAAGATGTTGTGTCCGCCGAAAACTAAAAAAAAAAATATATATATATTAAAAAATCTCTTTCTTTAAAAAAAAAGAGGGGCTATAGCTTTAAGTCCAAAACCTCCATGGATGCCCTCACCTCCACCTGCCAGGCATATTTTCCTGTTGGCCTGAATTCTTAAGATGTCCAATAAATCTTGAGTGCTGTAATCCTGGTTAAATAGTGCCTATACGTTTGGTTAATGGACAGAACATATTTTTAGACTAATAGAAACCTGGAGAAACAATGTTCAAAAACGTTGATATGTGTATAGTGCAAATGCTATCTATTAACTGAATGATGTCAGCTTGTTCTAAGAATCAGAAACCTGTGACCTGCTCTGTGCTCCAAGATCAAAGGAATCAGCTCATTAGCAGATGCTGCCCCCATGTTTCTCAGGTTAAGATTAACAAGATTCCTCAAAGAGCCCAGGATCCCAAAGCACAGCTCCCTCCCTCGGAGGCTGCTCTGCCCCATTGCTTGCCTGGCTGATAGCTTGGCTTGTGCCTCTATTGACACAACCTGAAACTCCTTCCCATGGCATAAATCAAGAACCCACCAGGGCTGTGTTAAGGTCCCCTTCACCCCTTTTTTGGAGGCAAGGTCTCACTAAATTGCTTAAGGCCTTACCCAGTTGCTGAGGTTGATCTTGAGCCTGCAATCCTCCTGCCTCGTCTCTGGGAATTCAGGTGTGTGCCATCCCACCTGGCTCCAGGTGCTTCTAATGCTGCCCTGACTGGTGTTTGAATACCACCAAACACTCCCTCCGGCCACAGGAGGGAGTCGTACTTATTAAGAGATTTGAAGTGATTTGTGCCAAGATTCAACTGAGTGGCAGGGCGGGAAACAAGCGCAGGAGCAGGAGGTACTCAGATTCCCGGAGCCTCGCCCTCTGCACTGCCCTGCACACTTTCAGTGGAGGGTCTGCACTTTCTCAGTCTTTAGTACTTCACAGCTTTTAGTGAAAGGGCTTGGTTGAAATCCTTCCTGACCCTCAGTCTGGTTAACTGTTTGAGGGCTGGGTTTATAGCTGGGGGAGGTGGGGCACACTTGCCTAGCATGTGTGAGGCACTGGGTTGGGTTCTCGGCACCCTATGAGTGAAGTTCTATCAACAATTAAAAAGTGATAAAAAAAGGTGGCTGGTGAGGTCACCTACAGTGACCTCGGATACAAGAATCAGAACACTGGCCTCTCTCCTTATACAACACCTCAGGGTGCTGGCATTAAGTGTGCAGCCCAGTTGCTTCATGACAGGTGAGGTAGGTAGGTCCATATGCATGACACAGAGAGGCCAAGTAACTAACCCCTAAGAGCAGTCGCATTTAAGCCCAGGGAGCTCCCTCCATTCCCTGTCACTGTCCACAATACATCCCAAACCAGGGCTGCCAACCCCATCCGTGCCCCTCCACCAGGCATTCAGGAAGCAGGAGGGGAAAGGGCAGCAGCCAGGACACACCTGGTGGAAACATCAGAGAGCGCCATTTATTATTACAGAGACCAAGGTCACAGGGCTGTCAAACACCCCAACCCTGTTATAAAAACAACAGAACAAAATACCACAGCTCAGGCTGAACGTGAGCAGCCTGGCTCCAGCACAGACAGACACGACACGACATCTCCGCACATTGATGTAAAAAAAATTGCCATGGCCCACAGGAAAAGTGATCGCGGCCACTGTCAACAGACACTGAAGCAAGGGCACTGGAGGGTCGACAGCGGCCACTTGAGGCCGGTTCTCCTGCAGGAACAGGGGGCCAGGTCTGGAAGGTCAGGCCGCTGGGTTGGAGAAGAGGCCTCCAGGGGAGGAGGGACAGGGGGACAGGATTGGAGCCCCTGAAGCCTCCGATGCCCAAGATATTCCCCTTCTCCAGAAGGAAGGCCCTCGCTGGACAGTTCATGGCCCTAAGGGCCAGCATGCTTGCGTTCACAAGGCATAAAACCCCATGGCAACCGTGGCCACCACGACACTGAGAGTGAGGACCCATCTGATGAGTGGCATCTGGGAGAGGTTGCTGAGCAGGGGTGTCCCTCGGGACTGCTCCGCAGGGATGGAGTCTGAAAGAGAAGGGAGGCCAGGTCAGCAGCAGGCGGCAGATGTGGGCACCTGACATCACTGAGGGATGGCAGAGGCACTGGACTCCAGTGCAGTTCCTGCCCATGCCAGGGCTCCCCAAGAACACATAGGTGTCCTGCTGGCCACCCCTGGGATACCCGCAAGGCGGAAAGCTCAGGGCTTCTCCCAGGGGCCTGCTCTGTGCTCAGCAAAGCCATGGCGAGAAAGCCCAGGGCCCACTGGGCACGGCTTTCAGGCTCCTGCCTGTGGCCAGGAAGGTGCTCCTGAGCCTGTATCGCTGACCAGGAGCCCTGGCTGTACACTCACCCCAGACCCACATTCTCTGGGAACCATGGTACTGGGGACATGTATTTTGGGGTGTTCATTGGGCTGCATTTGGAGAGAGGCTGGAAAGTGGAACCTGAGATTGGAACTCAGATTCAGCCCCACCCCCCGCATTTACAGGGGACCAGTCCCAGCCAGCTGTGAGGTCTGAGTGGGCAGGACAGGCAGGTCTCTGGAGTCAGACCATGGGTGGGAAGCCTGGCCCCATCCTGATATGGAGCCTTGGAGAGGCCTCTGGAGGCCAGAGTCGCCCTCATGGCAGGCATAGGGCAGCTCATGCTGTGTTCTCAGGAAAGGCCCGAGGCCTGCGGGAGCAACGGCTCAGGCCTGGGCCTCAAGACCCCTTTCTACTGGGGGGGGGGGGGGCGGCGAGGATCTGGAAGAGCCTGTGTTCCCTGTCTGTGTAGGACAGGGGAGTGTCCTTTGCCATGTTAGAAATTAAAGCCTGGAGATTGAACCCAGGGCCTTGCACCTGCCTGAGCCACACCCCAGCCCCAACCAAGGACCATCCGCACATTGACATGGGGACACACATCCCCCCAGCCTTCAGACCAAGAGGCGTGGCATGCACTCCCTGTCCCACTGTTTGACTTGACA